AGTAACCCAACCTCTCCCAGCCCCATCCACAGACTAGTGAGTAACCCAACCTCTCCCCTCCCCACCCACAGACCATTGAGTAACCCAACCTCTCCCAGCCCCACCCACAGTGAGTAACCCAACCTCTCCCAGCCCCACCCACAGACTAGTGAGTAACCCAACCTCTCCCAGCCCCACCCACACTGAGTAACCCAACCTCTCCCAGCCACATCCACAGTGAGTAACCCAACCTCTCCCAGCCACACCCACAGTGAGTAACCCAACCTCTCCCATCCCCACCCACAGTGAGTAACCCAACCTCTCCCAGCCCCACCCACAGTGAGTAACCCAACCTCTCCCAGCCCCACCCACAGTGAGTAACCCAACCTCTCCCAGCCCCACCCACAGTAGGTAACCCAACCTCTCCCAGCCCCACCACAGTGAGTAACCCAACCTCTCCCCTCCCCACCCACAGTGAGTAACCCAACCTCTCCCAGCCCCACCCATAGTGAGTAGCCCAACCTCTCCCAGCCCCACCCACAGACTAGTGAGTAACCCAACCCCTCCCCTCCCCACCCACAGTGAGTAACCCAACCTCTCCCCTCCCCACCCACAGTGAGTAACCCAACCTCTCCCCACCCACAGTGAGTAACCCAACCTCTCCCAGCCCCACCCACAGTGAGTAACCCAACCTCTCCCCTCCCCACCCACAGTGAGTAACCCAACCTCTCCCAGCCCCACCCATAGTGAGTAACCCAACCTCTCCCCTCCCCACCCACAGTGAGTAACCCAACCTCTCCCCACCCACAGTGAGTAACCCAACCTCTCCCAGCCCCACCCACAGTGAGTAACCCAACCTCTCCCAGCCCCACCCACAGTGAGTAACCCAACCTCTCCCCTCCCCACCCACAGTGAGTAACCCAACCTCTCCCCTCCCCACCCACAGTGAGTAACCCAACCTCTCCCCTCCCCACCCACAGTGAGTAACCCAACCTCTCCCCTCCCCACCCACAGTGAGTAACCCAACCTCTCCCAGCCCCACCCACAGTGAGTAACCCAACCTCTCCCCTCCCCACCCACAGTGAGTAACCCAACCTCTCCCCTCCCCACCCACAGTGAGTAACCCAACCTCTCCCCTCCCCACCCACAGTGAGTAACCCAACCTCTCCCCTCCCCACCCACAGTGAGTAACCCAACCTCTCCCCACCCACAGTGAGTAACCCAACCTCTCCCCTCCCCACCCACAGTGAGTAACCCAACCTCTCCCCTCCCCACCCACAGTGAGTAACCCAACCTCTCCCAGCCCCACCCACAGTGAGTAACCCAACCTCTCCCAGCCCCACCCACAGTGAGTAACCCAACCTCTCCCAGCCCCACCCACAGTGAGTAACCCAACCTCTCCCAGCCCCACCCACAGTGAGTAACCCAACCTCTCCCAGCCCCACCCACAGTGAGTAACCCAACCTCTCCCAGCCCCACCCACAGTGAGTAACCCAACCTCTTCCCTCCCCACCCACAGTGAGTAACCCAACCTCTCCCAGCCCCACCCACAGTGAGTAACCCAACCTCTCCCAGCCCCACCCACAGTGAGTAACCCAACCTCTCCCCTCCCCACCCACAGACTAGTGAGTAACCCAACCTCTCCCAGCCCCACCCACAGACTAGTGAGTAACCCAACCTCTCCCAGCCCCACCCACAGACTAGTGAGTAACCCAACCTCTCCCAGCCCCACCCACAGTGAGTAACCAACAGCTTCTCATTGTAACAACACATAGTAATAGGACGACATCCTGCTCATGCAAACCTATATTGGATACTGATTTAAAGAACAATCATGCACACACACGCACACACACACACACTGATACACAGACCAACAAATACTGACTATATATATATATATATATATATATATATATATATATATATATATATATATATATATATATATATATATATATATATATATATATATATATATATATATATATATATATATATATATATATGAATATATATGTATATATATATATATATATATATATATGTATATATATATATATATATATATATATATATATATATATATATATATATATATATATACTAGGCATACTGCCTAGCTTCGCTTAGGTTTTCAAAAACATTTGATAATTTGAATAGTAATTATTAGGTGATGGATGAGGCATGGAGTGCTTAAATGTAAACAGTAATGCTAATTTTAGAGAAGATGTTGTAGGCCTATGCTCTTTAACATCAGCATTCAGAGAAAGTGTTCGAAAGTACGCAATTTATAACTAAGATGGAAATAGAACTACAGAGGTTCCATGAACAGTATATCTCATAATTTATATTACATTGACTTTAAAAATTAACTTTTTATTTAATTATGATACGTAGCTTAATTAATAACTTATTTTTATCTAAAACAAATGCTATACTTTGTCGTTTTCTGTTTCTGTTTAAAATAGTATACAATTATTTGAAAAATAATTATTTAAAAAGGTTACCTCCCTTGGAAATTAACCGAATGACGTATCTCTGTGTTTACTTTTTTTTTAAACAGTTACTATGCTTATATAAGAAAATACGATATATAAACATATTTAACGACTACAATAGCTTTTTCCGACGGGATTAAAGTTTTTTTGTTACCCTCCAGGGTCGGTCTACGACCTCAAATAATATTAACGGGATCGATCGTCAAAATATTTATATATATCTCATATAAGGAGAATTTCACTCAAGATCATCTTTTAGCCCTCGTCGAGGGCTTTGAGTCTGACCAACAGTTTTTCCATACGGCCTAGTCATCTATAGTAGTGTATGCAAAAACTTAGCATGATGTACAGACATTAAGTAACCTAAAAATTGTGTTAAATTTTCCCTGTTTTTCCCATAAAATACAAAGATTATATAGGGAAATACAACTGGTCAGTTTTGACCGCTTTACGAAGTTTTCCCAGAATTGCCGAGTTTTTTATGAAACCCCTAGGTGTTCTTCTACCACCTCACAAAATATCAAGGGGGGTCGTCGGAGGAAATTTTTTTTCGTAATAGAGCTCATATAAAGAGAATTTCACTCGCGGTCACTTTTTAGCCCTCGTCGAGGGCTTTGAGTGTAACCGACAGTTTTCCCTAAAGGTCAAGCCATTGACCTAGGAGCATGCAAAAAATTAGCCAGATATACTGAGCTTAAGTACCCTAAAGTCTGCGTTGAAATGACCCTCTGTTTTTCCCATAAAATACATAGATTATATAGGGAAATACAACTGGTCAGTTTTGACCGCTTTACGAAGTTTTCCCAGATATGCCGAGTTTTTTGTGACACTCCTAGGTGTTCTTCTACCACCTCACAAAATATCAAGGGGGGTCGTCGGAGGAAATTTTTTTTCGTAATAGAGCTCATATAAAGATAATTTCACTCGCGGTCACTTTTTAGCCCTCTTCGAGGGCTTTGAGTGTAACCGACAGTTTTACCTAAAGGTCAAGCCATTGACCTAGGAGCATGCAAAAAATTAGCCAGATATACTGAGCTTAAGTACCCTAAAGTCTGCGTTGAAATGACCCTCTGTTTTCCCCATAAAATACAAAGATTATATAGGGAAATACAACTGGTCAGTTTTGACCCCTTTACGAAGTTTTCCCAGATATGCCGAGTTTTTTGTGACACCCTAAGGCGTTCTGCTACCACCTCACAAAATATCAAGGGGGGTCGTCGGAGGAAATTTTTTTTCGTAATAGAGCTCATATAAAGAGAATTTCACTCGCGGTCACTTTTTAGCCCTCGTCGAGGGCTTTGAGTGAGACCGACAGGTCTGCCCTACGGTCAAGCCATTTTCCTATAAACATGCCAAAAATTAGCCAGATGTAAAGAGGGTAAGTGCCCTAAAATCCGTTTTGAAATGACCCTCTGTTTTTCCCATAAAATACAAAGATTATATAGGGAAATACGACTGGTCAGTTTTGACCCATTTCCCGATTTTTCCCGGACATGGCGAGTTTTTTGTGACACCCCAAGGCGTTCTCCTACCACCTCTTAAAATATCAAGGGGGGTCGTCGGAGGAAATTTTTTTTCGTAATAGAGCTCATATAAAGAGAATTTCACTCGCGGTCACTTTTTAGCCCTCGTCGAGGGCTTTGAGTAAGACCGACAGGTCTGCCCTACGGTCAAGCCATTTACCTATAAACATGCCAAAAATTAGCCAGATGTAAACAGGGTAAGTGCCCTAAAATCCGTTTTGAAATGACCCTCTGTTTTTCCCATAAAATACAAAGATTATATAGGGAAATACGACTGGTCAGTTTTGACCCGTTTCCCGATTTTTCCCGGACATGGCGAGTTTTTTGTGACACCCCAAGGTGTTCTCCTACCACCTCACAAAATTTCAAGGGGGGTCGTCGGAGGAAATTTTTTTTCGTAATAGAGCTCATATAAAGAGAATTTCACTCGCGGTCACTTTTTAGCCCTCGTCGAGTGCTTTGAGTCAAACCGACAGGTCCGCCCTACGGCCAAGCCAATTACCTATAAGCATGCCAAAACTTAGCCAGATGTAAATAGGGTAAGTGCCCTAAAATCCGTTTTGAAATGACCCTCTGTTTTCCCCATAAAATACAAAGATTATATAGGGAAATACGACTGGTCAGTTTTGACCCATTTCCCGATTTTTCCCGGACATGGCGAGTTTTTTGTGACACCCCAAGGTGTTCTCCTACCACCTCACAAAATTTCAAGTGGGGTCGTCGGAGGAAATTTTTTTACGTAATATAGCCCATATAAGGCGCCGGTCAGTCGAGGTCAGTTTTGACCCCCTCTCCGTAGACTTTTCGGCCAACCGTCACCGGCCTTCGTGTTCTATTGCCCGAAGGCACCATCGAGCCAAATTTGACGCGCCTGCGGCGCCGGGAAGTGCCCTATCGGGCACTTGACCACTTTGCTTTATATATATAGATATATATATATATATATATATATATATATATATATAAATGGTTGTCCACTGTTCCCACCACCGGTCAGACACCAGAGGCTACAGGTTCATGGACAGGTTTGTCCTGGAGTTCATGAACGAGAACAACCAGGTGGTCAACACCTTCACGGACAGGGGTCAGAACAACAACAGAGACGTGGTGGAGGTCAACTACCCCGGCCCCACCCCGTCCCTGACCCTGCGGGTCGCCCTGACCACCCAGCGAAACCAGGCCCAGCAGCATATTGAGTTGTGTGAGGTGGAGGCTTTTGGGGGTGAGTAGTCATTTAGGCAGCACGCAGTCATTTAGGCAGCACGCAGTCATTTAGGCAGCACGCAGTCATTTAGGCAGCACGCGGTCATTTAGGCAGCACGCGGTCATTTAGGCAGCACGCAGTCATTTAATCAGCACGCAGTCATTTAATCAGCACGCAGTCATTTAGGCAGTACTGGGTACTTCATAATTATCTGAGTACTTTGGTTAGAACTATTTTAGACATATATAGGCCTATATATATATATATATATATATATATATATATATATATATATATATATATACATATATATACATATATATATATATATATATATATATATATATATATATATATATATATATATATATATATATATATATATATATAAGTACTTTCAGACAATACTAACTTCGGAGCGGGGTGACATATTTGTTTCAGGCTGCTTGGCGCCCTACTACGGGAAGGATGACATTAGTTTCAGACTGCCCTACTACAAACGGGGTGACATATTTGTGTGTTTCAGATTGCGTGGCGCCCTACTACGGGCTGGGTGACATATGTGTGTGTTTCAGACTGCGTGGCGCCCTACTACAAGCGGGGTGACATATTTGTGTGTTTCAGACTGTGTGGCGCCCTACTACAAGCGGGGTGACATATGTGTGTGTTTCAGACTGCGTGGCGCCCTACTACAAGCGGGGTGACATATTTGTGTGTTTCAGACTGCGTGGCGCCCTACTACGGGCAGTGTGACATATGTGTGTGTTTCAGACTGCGTGGCGCCCTACTACGGGCTGGAGTGCCAGAAGCTGTGCAGCAGGGCGTGTCTGAACCAGGTGTGCCACACCACGGGCCAGTGCATCAAGTGTGCTGATGGCGGCACCACTTGCAACGAGAGTAAGATTTGTGATACGTTGGTTGTAGTAAGATTTGTGATACGTTGGTTGTAGTAAGATTTGTGATACGTTGGTTGTAGCAAGATTTGTGATTGTAGCAAGATTTGTGATACGTTGGTTGTTGCAAGATTTGTGATACGTTGGTTGTAGTAAGATTTGTGATACATTGATTGTTGCAAGATTTGTGATACGTTGATTGTTGCAAGATTTGTGATACGTTGGTTTTAGTAAGATTTGTGATACGTTGGTTGTAGTAAGATTTGTGATACGCTGGTTGTAGTTAGATTTGTGATTGTAGTAAGATTTGTGATACGTTGGTTGTACTAAGATTTTTGAGACGCTGATATCTCGCATCAAGCCCTTGCCTACCGTCTACTATCTACCACAGATGTGACGCCCAAAAACATCTTGGTGCCCCCGACCCAGGTCCCGAGGAGGGAGAGAAAACACGAGGCCGAGTCTCAAGCTCTGGTCATCGTCTTCTTCCTGCTGACTCTCTCCGTCTCCATCTTCTGCTTCTTCATCTACCTCGTCATGCGCAACAGGAAAGCTTTGATCTGTTCGAAAGGTAAGGACGCACACATACACACAATCTTTGCTCTGTTCTAAAGGTAAGGACGCACACATACACACAATCTTTGCTCTGTTCTAAAGATAAGGACGCACACATACACACTATCTTTGATCTGTTCTAAAGATAAGGACGCACACATACACACAATCTTTGCTCTGTTCTAAAGGTAAGGACGCACACATACACACAATCTTTGCTCTGTTCTAAAGGTAAGGACGTACACATACACACAATCTTTGCTCTGTTCTAAAGGTAAGGACGCACACATACACACAATCTTTGATCTGTTCGAAAGGTAAGGACGCACACATACACACAATCTTTGCTCTGTTCTAAAGGTAAGGACGCACACATACACACAATCTTTGCTCTGTTCTAAAGGTAAGGACGCACACATACACACAATCTTTGCTCTGTTCTAAAGGTAAGGACGCACACATACACACACACCTCCATATACACGCCTGAACATAAACACATAAACACACATACACACCTGTAAACTGCACATACATGCCTGCACACTTGGACACGCACATCTACACGCATACAAACACCCACACCTAAACACACATTTACCCCAACACGCTAATACACATCTGAATTCACACACACCTGCCCACACACCTCCAAATGTCAAGGTACATGACATCAAGGGGAAATGATTTGATATTTCAGGGACAAATGTTGAGGCTTCCGAAAGTCACATGCAACCAATCATTCCAGGTAGGTCATCTTGTTATACAGGTGTTTTACGGCTTGGGTGGTCAGGTGTGTCGTGTGTCTGTCAGATGTGTCGTGTGACTGTCAGCTGTGTCGTGTGTCTGTCAGATGTGTCGTGTGTCTGTCAGATGTGTCGTGTGACTGTCAGATGTGTCTTGTGGATGTCAGGTGTGTCGTGTGACTGTCAGATGTGTCGTGTGTCTGTCAGGTGTGTCGTGTGCCTATCAGGTGTGTCGTGTGTCTGTCAGGTGTGTCGTGTGGCTGTCAGGTGTGTCGTGTGTCTGTCAGGTGTGTTGTGTGGCTGTTATGTGTGCCGTGCCTCACCTATGTACCTCACCTATGTACCTCACCTATGTACCTCACCTATGTACCTCACCTATGTACCTCACCTATGTACCTCACCTATGTACCTCACCTATGTACCTCACCTATGTACCTCACCTATGTACCTATGTACCTCTAGTGACAGCAGTCAGCCAGAGACCAGCCTCTGACATCAGTAGCATCTACTCGGAGGCCAAGACCGAGTCCTCGGTGTAAACAAGTACTTGGTGCCCAGGTGTTCTAGAACTGACCGCTGGCTGCCCAGGTGTTCTAGAACTGACCGCTGGCTGCCCAGGTGTTCTAGAACTGACCGCTGGCTGCCCAGGTGTTCTATCTGACCGCTGGCTGCCCAGGTGCTCTAGAACTGACCGCTGACTGCCCAGGTGCTCTAGAACTGACCGCTGGCTGCCCAGGTGTTCTATCTGACCGCTGGCTGCCCAGGTGTTCTGTTACTGACCGCTGGCTGCCCAGGTGCTCTATCTGATCGCTGGCTGCCCAGGTGCTCTAGAACTGACCGCTGGCTGCCCAGGTGCTCTAGAACTGACCGCTGGCTGCCCAGGTGCTCTAGAACTGACCGCTGGCTGCCCAGGTGCTCTAGAACTGACCGCTGGCTGCCCAGGTGTTCTGTTACTGACCGCTGGCTGCCCAGGTGCTCTAGAACTGACCGCTGGCTGCCCAGGTGCTCTAGAACTGACCGCTGGCTGCCCAGGTGTTCTATCTGACCGCTGACTGCCCAGGTGCTCTAGAACTGACCGCTGGCTGCCCAGGTGCTCTAGAACTGACCGCTGACTGCCCAGGTGTTCTGTTACTGACCGCTGGCTGCCCAGGTGCTCTAGAACTGACCGCTGGCTGCCCAGGTGCTCTAGAACTGACCGCTGGCTGCCCAGGTGCTCTAGAACTGACCGCTGGCTGCCCAGATGTTCTGTTACGCAAGGCAGGGCGGGATACCTGCCCATCTGCTGGGCGGTCGTCTGCAGAACTCGTCCATTCAGGTCTCACTGTGGACCTGCTAAACTGTGCACAGGACATGGGTCAGTAGAGAGAATGGCACGGAAACTGATTTTATTTTTAGTCAGGAAAAAAGTCACGGGAAAAGGCAGGTAACCCATCACGGAAATAAAGTCATCAAATAAAGAAAAAAACACAGAAATAAAATCACACAAGACAAAGATTTTCTTAGAGATTTTGATTTCCTTGTTGAGAATTGTTAAGTACATGCGCCATTAAATGTTGGTGATGATTTTTCAATTAACATTTAAATTTAAACACGTTAATGGTGTTATTTTCATCTCAATAAGTAGAAATACCATCTATTACATTTTATAGTATTTTCAAATTTTAATACACATTTATTTAATTTACACAAAATTAATTATAAACTGAGTTTATGGAATCTAGGCTTATAATTGTGTCCTTATGTTGTTTTTTTTCCGTAGGCCTTTCTTTTATGGCTTTGTCCGCCAAATTGTGTTTTGTTGACGTTTTGGGTCCATGACGGCCATTGTACTGTGTCGGCTTTTTGCCCATGTTTTATGATGTAATGAAGATTGTTCATCACTTGGTTGCTTTAGATGTGGCTACGTTATTGGTCAGGGTAATTCAAAGTAGTATTTTTTTTTAAAAAATGAATACATATCACACACAGAGAAGGTTCAATCATTCGTTTCAATCTTGCATTCTACCGAGCCAAAAGCTGACACAGTACTTGAGACCATCGTAATATCACAACTTAAGTATATCTATTTACATTGCTTATATTAATAGCAATAAAATCTATGTTGATTCGTATTTTCAAATACTTAGTCAATAGACCTAAGTATTATCTAAATTCCATGCTAACAACCATTTGTGATTTTTTTTTTCCCTACAGTCTGTTACGGACATTTAGAAGACATTTATGTCTCTGATTGTTTTTGTCTGACTTTTTTTCCTGTGACTTTTTTCCTACAATCTGTTACGGACACCACCCACTTCAGGCCATGTTGAGAACCCGTTTAGGATCCGATGACTCATCCTATAGAGGTCACGTGTTTCTGTTGTTCGAATTTCTGTCAATGTTTTGTTGATGTGAATTTGGGGGTTTATTGTCACGTGACCGCAGTGAAGTTAAAAATAGTAACGGGAATGTCGGATGCATTTGCCAGCGATGTTAAAATAAAGAGTGTACCCATCTTTACCATTAGTTTTTACTGTAGAAAATTTCGTATTATTTCCCCCATTCCCGCTGTAAAAGACAGCGGTACACTTATTTTTGGCAACACGTTTTTCATTGGTTGGATTTATTGTTTCTTTTGTCAATAAAATTTGTTGATGGTAAAATTCATTTTGTTTAAACCTCTTTGGTGATATAGCTGGTAAAAACATTGTGTATGGTGCAGGGGAAGGGTGGGCTGTTGTAACATCTTTTATTTGCTACAAATGTTTAGACCTCAGTCTACAACACCACCGGACGATAGCCTGGTCAAGCTGCAAACGGAACTTGGGATCCGAGACGACATAGACGAAAAAGTTGCTGGAGCTGCAGACGACGAGAAGAAAACTCTGGAATTCTATGACGTCATATCCGGTCTCCGTCCCGTTGATGAGGTCATCCTTGTAGGCGCTCGTGATGACGTAGTAGCAGATGTTGACCACGGCGAACACGAGCGAGACCGTCACGAGGGTTCTCGTCACGTGAGATGAGTGGCTGACCTTTGACCCGGAGAGTCGCTTGCGCATGCGCGCTGAAGATTTGACCTTGGCTCCGATGAACAGGGATCCAATGATGGAGACGGTGACCGGGACAACACCCCCCAGGTAGTTGAGCATGTAGGCGGCGACGATGTACAGGAAGTTGATGTTCTGCTGGGTGAAGTCGGATGGCGTGTAGTAGCCGAAGTACTCGGCATCAGACAGGCAGATGTACCAGAAGCTGAAGGGGACGGTGCTGAGCAGCGCCCAGGGTAGCCAGAAGACGTAGCAAGCGGCCATGACAGTCCAGGCGGCGCGGGGCGTGACCCACGACCGGAAGTGGAGCGGCCGGTAGACGGCCAGGCACCGCTCGATGATGATGGCCGCGGGGACGCTGGTCGACACGTAGCTGCCCCATGACGTCACCACAGCCAGCAGACGATCCACCAGGAAACAGAAAAACGCCACGGGCTCCGTTTGCCGCCACCCCGTGTACAGCGCCCCGCGGTCGCTTTGCCCGAGGGAGCTGAGAAAGTTCTCGAAGCTGACGGCGCCCAGCAGGTACATGGCGTCGGCAGCGGCCAGCGTCAGCAGCAAGACGTTGGTGGCCTTGTGGAGGCCACAGCGGGCCAAGATGGCCACGCTGGCCAAGTTTCCCAGCAGGCCCACGCTGGCCAGGCCGGGGTTCACCACACACGCCATAAAATGGCGGAGGCCGGTGACGTCATCGCACGAGGCAGATAGCCGAAGTCCTTGACCGGTGGCGTTGAGCGAGGCAGGATAGAGTTGTGGGACGTTGTCTAGTGACGTAACAACGGGTTGTAGGCTGCTGTTGTCCAGTGTTGAAAAGTTCAACTGTTGCTGGTTGTCGCCCAACATGGTTTGTTGCTACTGTTGTAAATCAGTACACTTGTAATAGTTTGTCTTCATTTTATTAAATTTTAAAATAAGAAATTCACCAATTTTTTTTTAAAAAATCAGCTTCAATCCCCCATCAGTTTAATGAAAGATACAACTATTTTAATGTAGCAAATTGCCCGCTCTACATGTGTAGTTATAATAAACACACTACTGAGCAAACTCAAACGTATTATTCACTACCGGTATCGATACTCAACCATTTTACACGTGTTTAAGTAATTTGTTATAATGTATGTTTGTTTAGCTGTGTTGTAGTGTATTTGTGTTTAACTGTGTTGTAGTGTACGTGTGTTTAAATGTTCTGTTATGAATCACATCACATCTATTATCTACGTCATCACAAGAGAAAGAGATAAGTGAGAGAAAATTACGCTGATTAAAAGTTTTAATGAGAGTCTCCATGCACAAAGCAAACATTAATTAAAGTACAACCAGAAACTCTAGTCATCTATTAGCCCCGCCCATTTAATTAAAGACTCGCGGATCTTGTAGGTCTGTCATTAATCATTTGGTGTTGTCATACTTGGGAAGTTATTGGGTAAGTGACGTCACAATCATAGCGTCTGCTGAACGAAAACAGACTTTTGTCTGCTTTAATTGTCGGGTGCAGACTACATTGGGCGGATACACGACCTAAGATGGAACAATACACATCCGATGTTTGTTGGAACAGCCATCCGCTGTTTCAGGTAGAGAACAATCGTTGGAACAGCCATCCGCTGTTTCAGGTAGAGAACAATTGTTGGAACAGGCAGCAGGTTGTCTGGGAATGTAGAACATTTCATTGGATAGTTTTTGTTCTATTGAGAACATTTCCTTAGATAGTTTTTGTTCTATTGAGAACATTTCAATGTTCAAGATGTCTGACGTCAGAACATCTGTGTCCAGAGAATGGAAAAGAACATTCCAGAACATCATCTCACTGTGATCGGCTACCTACAGTAAAGTTTGTTCCAGCATTTCCATGAATATTCTCATAATTCTTCAGAGTAGCCCAGTTTAGAATCCGGACTAAAAAGTCACATTTTGTGATTAGTTTTTAATCGTGCCCACATGCCCGCTACGAACACCTCTGGTGCCCACATACCCGCTATGATGCCTTTTTTTTAGGCACTGAACTAATTTTCTCAACACTGGGCTAACCAACACACCCCAGTAAATTGTGAGAGTAGCTCATAATGAACACATGTGTGTTGTGTTCAAGAATGTCTTACTGTCGCTAGAAAAGATATTGACAGTCTAAAGGGCGACCAGCCGTGCAATCACAAAGCCACACACCATACAGTTTAAAGAGCTTCAGGTGTTTTAGAAAGTGTGGTGGTATTTACACAAAGATCGATGACGTAGTTCCCCATAATATTGAGCCGATTGTGTGTATGTTAGCGTCAATTGATTCAGGTTCCCCAATAGCTTTGTGAATAGAAGTCGAGAGTTCAAATAAAAAATTCAGTTCAGTTTTCTTACAAGCGGAGCGTCGACTGTATGTAGTAAAAACCTACAATAGAGAACTTGTTGATCACCGGGGTAAGCGTATAAGGAAGAGGGTGGGGGTGGGTGGTCGGTGAACGGAAAAAAAGTGACAGGAAAAAAACCAGAAAAAAAGTCAGTAGTTTTCGCTAAGAAAAAAAGTCATAAAGGAATTTTTTTTCGGCAAAAAAGTCACAGGAATAAAGTAACAGAAAAAAAGTCACAATAGTGTTTTAATAAATATTTTGATTTTAATTTTTGAAAATAGTAAACGTTAGGTGTTTATTGATATGGGTTGTTTTTTTTTTGTAGCATATTTATAAACGATAAAATCATTATGGTTTATAACACTTACAATAAGTAAATATACTAACATAATTTACACAGCAACATCAACTTTTGTAATGAATTTAGTTAAATTTAGTTGTCCATCCATATTGTGTGTTTTGACAGCCTTTGTACCGTGTCGGCTTTCTGTTTTGATCCTATGCTTTGTTATGTAATGAGCGTGATAAATGTGGGCAGTACAGGTGGTTGACCTATTGTTGCAATGAGCTAAGGGCAGCAAGTCACATTAACTACGTCTTTATGCCATTTCGCGCTAATTTAAAGTTAGTATTTAACAAATACTATGAAAAGGAGAAGGTTGGAAAATTTTATTAAATTCTATTAAATACTATATGAATAAAGGGATTAACACGTAAATACTTCACACTAAATATTTGCGTGTGTTATAAATATCAATAAACGTATACAACCTATGCACATTTCATTATATTTAATTAATCTAAGTTGATTCGCAAATTCTGAATATTTAATACATAAAAGTATTTTTAAAAATTCCATGCAAATGTATATTTGTGACTTTTTTCCAGTGCGTTTTTTTTTCTTGTGACTTTTTTCTGCGTTTTTTTTTCCTGTGACTTTTTTTTTCTGCGTTTTTTTTTACTGTGACATTTTTTTCTGCGTTTTATTTCCTGTGACTTTTTTTTCTTCAATCGGGTGGTCAGCTTGTGGATTAGTGATTCGTAGAATTTTTGTAAATTTAAAAACTTTACTAATAGTTAATGTTTTGCGATGATAAAATAAAGATAAAATCTACAACAAAGCTTATTTCCAATTTGTGTTTATTAATTAGTTTTCTCGCACGTTTTAAGATAAAAATTTAAAAAAATCAAATTCAAGAAATCTAATTAAAACCGAGGATGACCAAAATACTTGTATTTAAACTATAGCAAGGGTGTAGTTTTTTCATCCATCGACAGAAATGTATGGTCCTATTAGTAGCGTGTTTAAATTTTATTAAAATCTCTTCATTCCACGCCAAATACCTCATGCCGTCTTGCAACAATCCCCCCCCCCCACCCCAACTCACCCCCACTGAATATTCTAGAAAAAGTCGAGCACGCAGAACGGCCGTTAGTGAATTACCTGACCGTTATTTACTGCAGTCAAAGGAAAGTATCACCCCCCCCCCCCACACACACACCCTATTGATGTGTGTGCTGTGATCGCTTTCCCCCTCAGGTACGATTGAACAGAGATCGATCAGGAATTCGCGATCGTCTATTGCACACCACGTTTTATATTGAAAAGTTTGACAGAGCCGTCTGACGTCACGCAATAAAATCTTGGCCAAGTCACGTGACAGCAATAACAACCTGCCCCCTCCCCTGACTTACACTTCAACAGTGTCAACTTTCGCTGTCGTGCCGCCAAAAGTCTGGCCACACGTGAGGCATGCCAAGTTGGTTGTTGAAAAAACGGGTGGTGGTGGACATCACGTGACACAGGCTATGGTCGCTACGTGAAAGGTCAAAGATGGCCGCTGGTCATCTCGACTGACGACACTCAACACGTGAGTCGTGCATGCGTCACGTTCTGGGGGTGAGTACATTTGTGGTAACTTTGTTTTTATGTCAGGCTGGTGTCTGTCTAGTGTCTGTCTGGTGACTGTCTGGTGTCTGTCTGGTGTCTGTCTGGTGACTGTCTGGTGTCTGTCTGGTGTCTGTCTGGTGTCTGTCTGGTGTCTGTCTGGTGTCTGTCTGGTGACTGTCTGGTGTCTGTCTGGTGTCTGTCTGGTGTCTGTCTGGTGACTGTCTAGTGACTGTCTGGTCTCTGTCTGGTGTCTGTCTGGTGTCTATCTGGTGTCTGTCTGGTGTCTGTCTGGTGTCTGTCTGGTGTCTGTCTGGTGTCTGTCTGGTGTCTGTCTGGTGTCTGTCTGGTGTCTGTCTGGTGTCTGTCTGGTGTCTGTCTGGTGTCTGTCTGGTGTCTGTCTGGTGTCTGTCTGGTGTCTGTCTGGTGTCTGTCTGGTGTCTGTCTGGTGTCTATCTGGTGTCTGTCTGGTGTCTGTCTGGTGTCTATCTGGTGTCTGTCTGGTGTCTGTCTGGTGTCTGTCTGGTGTTTGTCTGGTGTCTGTCTGGTGTCTGTCTGGTGTCTGTCTGGTGTCTGTCTGGCGTCCGTCTAGTGTCTGTCTGGTGTCTGTCTGGTGTCTATCTGGTGTCTATCTGGTGTCTGTCTGGTGTCTGTCTGGTGTCTGTCTGGTGTCTGTCTGGCGACCGTCTAGTGTCTGTCTGGTGTCTGTCTGGTGTCTGTCTGGTGTCTGTCTAGTGTCTGTCTGGTGTCTGTCTAGTGTCTGTCTGGTGTCTGTCTGGTGTCTGTCTGGTGTCTGTCTGGTGTCTGTCTGGCGACCGTCTGGTGTCTGTCTGGTGTCTGTCTGGTGTCTGTCTGGTGTCTGTCTAGTGTCTGTCTGGTGTCTGTCTAGTGTCTGTCTGGTGTCTGTCTGGTGTCTGTCTGGTGTCTGTCTGGTGTCTGTCTGGTGTCTGTCTGGTGTCTGTCTGGCGACCGTCTAGTGTCTGTCTGGTGACTGTCTAGTGTCTGTCTGGTGTCTGTCTGGCGACCGTCTAGTGTCTGTCTGGTGTCTGTCTCCAACATTTGATTGGCTTATGTTTGTCTTAAAGATGCTGAACCTGTTTGTGAATCTCAATCCAATGTTTGTCTACAGTTGATTGGTACCAGACACGTTGGGCACCAGGAGACTAAATCATCAATAGGTAAATCACTTTTGTGGGGGTCAGTTAAAGACGTCCCACAACTAGACGTCAACTAAATACGTCAGCTAAAGACGTCCCACAACTAGAGGAATCTAAAAGACGTCACACAACTAGACGTCCTTTAAGACGTCCCACAACTAGACGTCAGCTAAAGACGTCACACAACTAGACGTCAATAAAAGACGTTAGCCAAAGACTTCCCCCAACCAGACGTCAACAGAAGACGTCCCCCAACTAGACGTCAACAGAAGACGTCAACAGAAGACGACCCCCAACTAGACGTCAACAGAAGACGTCCCCCAACTAGACGTCAACAGAAGACGTCCCCCAACTAGACGTCAACAGAAGACGTCCACCAACTAGACGTCAACAGAAGACGTCCCCCAACTAGACGTCAACAGAAGACGTTCCCCAACTGAGGAAGTCAGCTAGAGACGTCAGCTAGAGACGTCAACAGAAGACGTCAACAGAAGACGTCAACAGAAGACGTCCCCCAACTGAGGACGTCAGGATGGGGCTGGTGGACAGCTTTCTGGCCGCTGACCTGCTGGTCCAGGTGTCCACCATTGTTGTTGTCGTGGCCCAGATCTTCAAGTAGGTTTTTCTGTGTGGGGTCACTGGTGTGTGGGGTCACTGGTGTGTGGGGTCACGGGTGTGTGGGGTCACTGGTGTATGGGGTCACTGGTGTATGGGGTCATTGGTGTGTGGGGTGACTGGTGTGTGGGGTCAATGGTGTGTGGGGTCACTGGTGTGTGGGGTCAATGGTGTGTGGGGTAAATGGTGTGTGTGGGGTAACTGGTGTGTGGGGTCATTGGTGTGTGTGGGGTCACTGGTGTGTGGGGTCACTGGTGTGTGGGGTCATTGGTGTGTGGGGTGACTGGTGTGTGGGGTCACTGGTGTGTGGGGTCATTGGTGTGTGGGGTCATTGGTGTGTGGGGTCACTGGTGTGCGGGGTCACTGGTGTGTGGGGTTACTGGTGTGTGTGGTCATTGGTGTGTGGGTTTACTGGTGTGTGGGGTCACTGGTGTGTGGGGTTACTAGTGTGTGGGTTCATTGGTGTGTGGGGTCAATGGTGTATGGGGTCACTGGTGTGAGGGGTCATTGGTGTGTGGGGTCATTGGTGTGTGGGGTCACTGGTGTGTGGGGTCATTGGTGTGTGGGGTCACTGGTGTGCGGGGTCACTGGTGTTTGGGGTCACTGGTGTGTGGGGTTACTGGTGTGTGTGGTCATTGGTGTGTGGGGTCACTGGTGTGTGGGGTCACTGGTGTGTGGGGTCACTGGTGTGTGGGGTTACTGGTGTGTGGGGTCATTGGTGTGTGGGGGTCATCGGTGTGTGGGGTCACTGGTGTGTGGGGTCATTGGTGTGTGGGGTCATCGGTGTGTGGGGTCATTGGTGTGTGGGATCATCGGTGTGTGGGGTCACTGGTGTGCGGGGTTACTGGTGTGTGGGGTCATTGGTGTGTGGGGTCATTGGTGTGTGGGGTCATCGGTGTGTGGGGTCATTGGTGTGTGGGGTCATTGGTGTGTGGGGTGACTGGTGTGTGGGGTCATCTGTGTGTGGGGTCTGTGGTGTGTGGGGTAACTGGTGTGTGGGGTCATTGGTGTGTGGGGTCACTGGTGTGTGGGGTCATCGGTGTGTGGGGTCAACGGTGTGTGGGGTCAATGGTGTGTGGGGTCATCGGTGTGTTGGGTCACTGGTGTTTGGGGGTCATCGGTGTGTGGGGGTCATCGGTGTGTGGGGTCAATGGTGTGTGGGGTCATCGGTGTGTGGGGTCACTGGTGTGTAGGAGTCATCGGTGTGTGGGGGTCAGCGGTGTGTGGGGTCATTGGTGTGTGGGATCACTGGTGTGTAGCAGTACAATGTCGTGTCTCACATTTAATTAAATGAAACAAATTTGTTCTTATACCTTTAATATAACACACTTTTAAATGCACTAAAAATGAGAAAATTAAAATACGCTTGCTTTATTTAATAAAAAAAACTTTCCCCAACCCCACACCCACCACACACTGGCCAATGACGTCATTGATTGTTGACGTGTCCCCCACAGCTGGATGGCCTTCTGCACGTCATCGTGGTGGGTGTCGTCAGGTACCCACACGGGGCTGTGGCGGTCGTGTGGTCAGGATTTCATCGCCACCTGCAGCGTCATGGACGGTACAGGCAGTGGTAAGCTATGACATGTCACAGTGGCATTTGGTAGTGACATTTGGTAGTGGCATTTGGTAGTGACATTTGGTAGTGGCATTTGGTAGTGGCATTTGAAAGTGTCATTTGATAGTGGCATTTGGTAGTGGCATTTGGTAGTGACATTTGGTAGTGGCATTTGGTAGTGGCATTTGGTAGTGGCATTTGGTAGTGGCATTTGGTAGTGACATTTGGTAGTGGCATTTGGTAGTGACATTTGGTAGTGACATTTGGTAGTGGCATTTGGTAGTGACATTTGGTAGTGGCATTTGGTAGTGACATTTGGTAGTGACATTTGGTAGTGGCATTTGAAAGTGTCATTTGATAGTGGCATCTGATAGTGGCATTTGAATGTGGCATTTTTATTGGCATTTGATAGTGGTATTTCAAAGTGGCATTTGATAGTTGCATGTGATAGTGACATCTGATAGTGGTATTTTTAGTGGCATTTGATAGTGGCATTTGAAAGTGGCATTATATTAAGGCATTTGAAAGTGGCATCTGATAGTGGCATCTGATAGTGGCATTTGATAATGTCATGTGATAGTGAAAGTACTGGCATCTGACCCCCAGTCTTTGACCCCCCTCCCCCACCCCACAGATGACATGGCCGCCACCCAGACGTTCGCCATCTTCGGGTTGATGACGCTCAACCTGGGTTGTCTCCTCCTGGCTCTCTACGTCTTCGTCCCGTCCACGCGGGGCAGCAGGGAGGCGGGGCTAGGGGCGGCCGTCAGCTTGTTAGTCGCAGGTAGGTCAAGGTCTTCAACTTTACTAGGTGTTAAACCAGGTTCAAGGCGATAGGCAATGTTTAGCAACTATTTTAACACATTTCTCTCCCTTTTGCCCTTTGTTTCCCACCTGTTTCACACCTGTTTCCCACCTGTTTCACACCTGTTTCCCACTTGTTTCCTACCTGTTTCACACCTGTTTCACACCTGTTTCAGCCGCTAGCTGGCTGATTGCCGTGTGCGTGTTTGGAGCGTACGCTGACCGTCAGAAGGGCAGTGACCCCGGCAAGTTGGGCTTCTCGTTTGGTCTGGCGATCGTCGCCCTCATCCTGTCGCTGGCAGCTGGGGTCATGGTGCTGGTCACCTGCTGCAAGGGTGGCTCGGTGGGCTCCAAGTAGATGACATCTACATGACAGGTGACATCTACATGACAGGTGACATCTACATGACAGGTGACATCTACATGACATAGGACATCTACATGACAGGTGACATCTACATGACAGGTGACATCTACATGACAGGTGACATCTACATGACATAGGACATCTACATGACAGGTGACATCCACATGACAGATGACATCTACATGATAGATGGCATCTACATGACATATGGTATCTACATGACACATGACATCTACATGTCAGATGACATCAACATGACAGATGACATCTACATGACAGATGGCATCTACATGACATATGGTATCTACATGACAGATGACATTTACATGACAGGTGACATCTAGATGACAGATGGCATCAGCATGAAATGTATACGACAGGTGACATCTACATGACAGATGACATCTACATGACAGGTGACATCTACATGACAGATGACATATACATGTCAGATGACATCTACAAGTCAGATGACATTTACATCACATTTGAGATCTACATGTAGATGACAGTGACGTCGCAGCGTGAAGAGATCTGCATGACAAAAAACAATCCTGAAATGTCATCAATAACAGAGATGATATACCATAAGATACCCTATAAAACCCTGAGAGAATTGAAAGAAATGTAAATCCTTGTATCACGTGGTGTCCTTACTGATATCATTCATGTATCACGTGATGTCCATACTGATATCATTCATGTATATATTGGGGAGTTTAAATAAAATATGATCAAAAGTTTTTTTGTTTTGTCCTCTCAAACAATTTTTACTTAACTTTTTTTTTAACCCAGCAATTTTGGGAGATGTTGGACTGACAGTGTGATGTTTTGGGAGATGTTCAACTGACAGTGTGATGTTTTAGAGATGTTGGACTGACAGTGTGATGTTTTAGAGATGTTGGACTGACAGTGTGAAATCTAATAAGAAATATTTTGATTTAATTGTAGAGAATAGTGACATTTTGGGTATTTATTACTGTGTGTGTGTGTGTTTTTTTTTGTTTTTTTTTTGTAGCATATTTATAAACTTGGAAAGCATTATGGTTTATAACTATAAGTAAAAATAGTATAAAATATTTTGCACAGCAATTTCCACATTTGTTACGTATTTAGTTGAATATACGGCCTTGTGCGTCCATATTGTGTGTTGTTGACGTTTCGCGTCAATGACAGCTTTTCAACCGTCTCGGCTTTCTGTTTTGATCCGACTTTGTTATGTAATGAGCGTGATAAATGTGGGCATGAAAGGTGGTTGAACTGTCGTTGCTATGAGTTAAGGACAGCAAGTCACACTAACAACGCTTCTACGCCATTTCACAGTAATTTAAATTTTGTATTTAAAAAACACGATGAAAACCGAGAAAGTTGGAACATTCTGTTAAATATTATAAGTATAACGGAATTGAAACCTACATACTTTATACTAAAAAATGTTACGCGTGTCATACATACCTATGCAAAATATGCACTTATATCTATATATCTAAAAATCTATACATTGCATTTGAATCTTATGTTGATTTGAACTTTCTGAATAATTTAATACATTAAAATATTAATTTCCAAACAAATTCTTATTTGTGATTTTTTTCTGTGACTTTTTTCCTGTGACAATCGTCGGATTAACAGAGTGATGTTTTAGGGATTTGGTATTGATATGATGATTATTTGAGAAATGTAGGAATAATTGTGTTATGTTTTGAGAGATGTGGGATTGGTCGGCTGAGAAGACTAAATTGGTCTTCAATTAAACTTGTGAATCCAAGTTTGCCGCATATAGAATAGATCAAGAATATTACAGCCTTGTTTCAATAATCTTTGGTCTGTAGGCTTTCACCTATTCACGCTTGAATGAATAAAAAATGTCGGCTCCTGTGTCGTAAAATGGGCGTGGCTTGTCCCTGTGGTGACATCAGATGATTCGTTTCTCGTCTGGGCGGTCTGACGCGGGTGTCACGTGGGCCAAACCTGGACCCGTCCCATTACGTCAGCAGACGTGGTGGCCGTTGCTAGGTCTCCACACACACATACACATTAACACACACACGCCGTGTGTGCCAAGCTAGGATCGTGGGGGATTTGGGGGCGGGGACAAAAAACCAAGCGAGGACCAAGACAGGACCTACCCAGGACACAGGACATAATGAGGACCAACTCAGGACATAATGAGGACCAGATGAGCACTTGACATCAGGTCGGTAACTGTGTGTGAGTAGAATATTTTTAATGAGGTTCTCTGGAGTTCGGGTTCATTAACTCTGCTTAGCGGACTAGAGCATTCACGGATTTGTTTCATACTTTGACTATCTACCCCCTCCCCTTTATCCCCCCCCCCCCCCGATATTTAAATCTCTGGAACTCTGGCCCACGTAACGTGACACGATTGGGCAGTAACGTGACAGGATTGGGCAATAACGTGACACGATTGGGCAGTAACGTGACAGGATTGGGCAGTAACGTGACACGATTGGGCAGTAACGTGACACGATTGGGCACCCCTGAAAGTGCTTTAGAGATTCTGGAACCACATTAGAAGGAAAATTAATCGTTACATCTTCATTTTAAATAAAGTATGTAAATTAGCCAGACAAGCACTTAATGATGTAAGCCACTTAGACCAATCACTTAATTAATGATGTAATCTAGTTAGTCCAACCACTATTGTCAACCACCCGTGTCAACCAGTTTCCGTCCAACCATTCTAAATGCTAACATTTAGCAATAAATCAAATCATATCATAAGCAACTTTTGGCTTGGTGAATGACAGCTAACACAAGAGGTGGCCAAAAACTAGAAAGATGGCCAAAAACTAGAAAGATGGCCAAAAACTAGAAAGATGGCCAAAAACTAGAAAGATGGCCAAAAACTAGAAAGATGGCCAAAAACTAGAAAGATGGCCAAAAACTAGAAAGATGGCCAAAAACTAGAAAGATGGCCAAAAACTAGAAAGATGGCCAAAACTAGAAAGATGGCCAAAAACTACAAAGATGGCCAAAAACTAGAAAGATGGCCAAAAACTAGAAAGCTGGCCAAAAACTCACATCAAATATTTATTTCAATATAGCGATTCCATCAACACAGTCAGCATCAGTCAAGTAAGTCACCGATAAGTCATCTAGTCACCGAGAGTCACATACTTTCCAGAAGTCACAATCAGCTGGAGTCATCTCAAGTCACCTGCAGTCATCTGAGGTATGATGGGAGTCGTGTCTGGCTTTCTCGGTGTCAGCAACTATGTCAAGGTCGCTGCCCTCGTTGTCATGGTAGCACAGATTTTAAAGTAAGTTCAAAGGTCATCAAACACATTAAGGCACCGTGCCATGACATTAGGGCACTGTGCCATCACATTAGGGCACCGTGCCATCACATTAAGGCACCGTGCCATGACATTAGGGCACTGTGCCATCACATTAGGGCACCGTGCCATCACATTAGGGCACCGTGCCATGACATTAGGGCACATTAGGGCACTGTGCCATCACATTAGGGCACCGTGCCATCACATTAGGGCATTGTGCCATCACATTAGGGCACCGTGCCATGACATTAGGGCACATTAGGGCACTGTGCCATCACATTAGGGCACCGTGCCATCACATTAGGGCACCGTGCCATGACATTAGGGCATTGTGCCATCACATTAGGGCACCGTGCCATCACATTAGGGCACCGTGCCATGACATTAGGGCATTGTGCCATCACATTAGGGCACCGTGCCATCACATTAGGGCACCGTGCCATGACATTAGGGCATTGTGCCATCACATTAGGGCACCGTGCCATCACATTAGGGCACCGTGCCATGACATTAGGGCACTGTCCCATCACATTAGGGCACTGTCCCATCACATGAGGGCACTGTCCCATCAGATTAGGGCATTTTCCCATTCAATTAGGGCACTGCCCGACACAAACACCGAGACTTTCTATCAATACATGGTTTTAGTAACATTGAATTACCGAATTAAAACCATTTTGAAATCCTTAACAAGTTGATTGGATCTATCCTGCATTAATTAGTCATTAATTATAATTAACCTCTTCCGGTCCCAGCTGGATCGCCTACTGTACCTCATCATGGTGGGTGGTGACCACACCAGCCGCCGGCGTCCTCTACACCCACTACGGCTTGTGGCGGGCGTGCAACTCGGGGTTCCTGCCCAAATGTGCGGTACTTGACGGTACCGGAAGTGGTGAGTTTCCGGTGGTCTGTTGGTTTGGTGGTCTGTCTATTTATTTAAATAGTAGTGCATAATTTATTTTCTACTTCTTAGTGCATTATTACATAAAAGCTTGTAATAAAAAAGCTTTTTTAAGAATTTTTTTTTCAGTACTTTAAAGTTGTTGTTTTTTTTACAATAGAGTTGCATGACTAAAAACCATTGCGCACTTATGAACATTATAACGCGCGTAAAATAGTGCGGAATAGTTGGATAAGACAGCCTACTAATTTGGTCACAATTTTAATTAATTCATAAAAAGTCAATTAGGCAACCAATTAAGTCAAATTTAATATCATGTTTCATTGTCTTCATGTCTTAACCAAGTAACAACTATGAACCGATTCTATATGTTAGAAGTGCCCGAATTTTCGCTCGGGCGTTTGGATCTAGAAAGAGACAGTTAAATAATAGCTTGTAAAAAGTTATTTTTTGCAATTTTTTTCTATAATCTATTTGTCTCGATATTTTTCAAAATTGAATGTCAGTTTCCCTGGGTGGTTAATTGTCTTGGTGGTATTTGAATTAGTGGTAATTTTTGTTTTCATCCGTGTTTTGGTATTGGTGGTTAGTTTAAGATGATGGAAAGTTTAAATTAATTATTGGTGACGTTTTAATTTAATTTAGGGATTAATGAAATATTTAGTAAGGTTTGGTTGAAAATTAACATTTAGACTTTGTAATGAAATGTTGTCTGTCACATGACCTATCTGTCACATGACCTATCTGTCACAGGACCTATCTGTCACATGACCTATCTGTCACATGACCTATCTGTCACATGACCTATCTGTCACATGACCTATCTGTCACATGACCTATCTGTCACATGACCTATCTGTCACATGACCTATCTGTCACATGACCTATCTGTCACATGACCTATCTGTCACATGACCTATCTGTCACATGACCTATCTGTCACATGACCTATCTGTCGCATTACCTATCTGTCCCCCAGATAACATGGCCGCCGCCCAGACTTTTGCCAACTTTGGTTTCGTCTCGCTCAACCTGGGTTGTCTGCTGCTGGGGCTCTACGTCATGCTGGACACGTGCAGGGGCAACAGGGAGGCGGGGCTAGGCACAGGTGTTACTTTAATTACTTCAGGTAACTGGCCACAGGTGTTACTTTACTTCAGGTAACTGGACACAGGTGTTACTTTACTTACTTTAGGTAAGTGGCAACAGGTGTTACTTGACTTACTTCAGGTAACTGGCCACAAGTGTTACTTTACTTACTTCAGGTAAGTGGCAACAGGTGTTATTTTACTTACTTCAGGTAAGTGGCCACAGGTGTTACTTTACTTACTTCAGGTAAGTGGCAACAGGTGTTACTTTACTTACTTCAGGTAACTGGACACAAGTGTTACTTTACTTACTTCAGGTAAGTGGCAACAGGTGTTACTTGACTTACTTCAGGTAACTGGCCACAAGTGTTACTTTACTTACTTCAGGTAAGTGGCAACAGGTGTTATTTTACTTACTTCAGGTAAGTGGCCACAGGTGTTACTTTACTTACTTCAGGTAACTGGACACAAGTGTTACTTTACTTACTTCAGGTAAGTGGCTACAGGTGTCACTTTACTTACTTCAGGTAACTGGCTACAGGTGTCACTTTACTTACTTCAGGTAACTGGCTACAGGTGTTACTTTACTTCAGGTAACTGGCCACAGGTGTTACTTTACTTCAGGTAACTGGCCACAGGTGTTACTTTACTTACTTCAGGTAACTGGCTACAGGTGTCACTTTACTTACTTCAGGTAACTGGCCACAGGTGTTACTTTACTTACTTCAGGTAACTTACCACAGGTGTTACTTTACTTACTTCAGGTAACTTACCACAGGTGTTACTTGACTTACTTCAGGTAACTGACCACAGGTGTTACTTTACTTCAGGTAACTGGCCACATGTGTTACTTTACTTACTTCAGGTAACTGGCCATAGTTGATGTAGCGAGGTTGAGTTTGGGATCTGAGGCTGTGAAAGTTTTTAATTAATTAAAATAAATTTTCCCAAGGATAATCCTAAAATGTGAATGAACCTTCACCAGGAGTGGGCTGGCTAATTGCCGTGTGTGTGTTTGCCGGCTCCATCAACCAGTGTGTGTGTTTGCCGGCTCCATCAACCAGAACTACGGCTCCAGCTCCTACGGCTTCTCGTTTGGCCTGGCCATCGTGACCTGCTTGTTGGCCCTGGTGGCCGCAGTACTAGTGGCCATCGCCGGCTGCACTGGTGGGTTAGGGGGGTCAAAGTAAGGAGGGGGAGGGAGGTCAAAGTAAGGAGGGGGGGGGGGGTCAAAGTAAGGAGGGGGGGTCAAGCTGATCGACACAGGAAAGGGGGGAATGTCAATGTAATTATATTTGAACAGATAAAGGTTGGTATGTGTATGTGTGTAGGGGGGGGGGGGAGAATAACCTATGTAAATGGATATTTGCTCAACTGTGTATAATATGTTATCAAATTATTTCCTGTACTCACTAATGTCCAGTGAATTAAAGTCATGTACATGGTGAACATTATGTTTGTTTTTAGTTTTCTATAGTAAGCAACAGGGAGAGTTGTGATTAAAAGTGTGTAGCCCTATAAGAGTGAACCCCCCCCCCCCCCAGTTGTGATTAAGTGTGTAGCCCTATAAGAGTGTGCCCCCCCCCCCCCCCATAGTTGTGATTTCAAGTGTGTAGCCCTATAAGAGTATGCCCCCCCCCCCCCCCCTAGTTGTGATTAAAAGTGTGTAGCCCTATAAGAGTGTGCTGCCCCCCCCCCCAGTTGTGATTAAAAGTGTGTAGCCCTAGAAGAGTGAGCTGCCCTACCACAGGCAGTGAGCTGACTTGACCCACCCACCACATAACAAGCTCCAGTTGCCTTACGTTACGGCTGTTAACGTCATCTAAAGGGAGACAATCAAACACTACATTTGTATTGTTCTTGTTATCTCCCTTTGAACACGGACGTTTAAATAATCGTGACGAACAAAACTAGTCAAATATTTTTTGAACTGTCATGTTCTTTTTTTTCCTTTAATTACATAATTTTTTTAATTACATAATTTTTTTAATTACATAATATTTTAATTACATAATTTTTTAATTACATAATTTTTTAATTACATAATTTTTAATTACATAATTACAAATTTTACAGTGTTTACAGCAACCACATCTGACTGGCCCATTAGTCAAGCTATTCAAATATAATTTAATTAAACTAATTAGCTAATTGGCTAGTCAAACTAAAACATGCATAAATGAAGTCAGCTTCTACAGCCTAGTTCAAGTTGACATAAGCGAGGTCAGTGACTGCTAGCCGTTGTCTCAACTAGGTCAGTGACCGCTGGCCGTTGTTTGAACTAGGTCAGTGACCGCTAGCCGTTGACTAAACTAGGTCAGTGACCGCTGGCCGTTGACTGAACTAGGTCAGTGACCGCTACCCGTTGACTAAACTAGGTCAGTGACCGCTGGCCGTTGACTGAACTAGGTCAGTGACCGCTGGCCGTTGTCTCAACTAGGTCAGTGACCGCTGGCCGTTGACTAAACTAGGTCAGTGACCGCTGGCCGTTGACTGAACTAGGTCAGTGACCGCTAACGTCTGGCACCAAGCGCTTGTCTTCTGCTCCCTGCTCGACAATTTGTTCCGTTCATTTTTTCCCTGAAACAAAAAGTCAAAGTTTTTAATCTCTAAGCCAAGCCCAGGGTTAGCGTTAAGTTGGGCGACGTTTGCAGGAAACAGTTATAATTTAGGCAAGTGGGTTAGATGGGGGAGGGGAGAGAGATAGTGGGTAGATGGGGGAGGGGGAGAGAGATGGTGGGGGAGGTTTACATTGGAGGAGGGTGGGGCTTGGTCAGGATTTGGAAGTTTGGGTTAGAGTTTAGTATGTGATGCGTTGCCCCCCCCCCCCCCAAACACACACACACTCACTATAACAAATCTTACCAAACCGGAAGTGGCGATACAGAAGAAGGAGGCTGGGATCACGCCCCAGATGAACTGGTCAAGCAGGGTCAAGGTCACACTATGGATGAAACGTGACACCATCAATATAACGAGATACATAGCAACGTGACACCATCAATATAACGAGATACATAGCAACGTGACACCATCAATATAACGAGATACATAGCAACGTGACGCCATCAATATAACGAGATACATAGCAACGTGACACCATCAATATAACGAGATACATAACAACGTGACACTATAAATATAACGAGATACATAGCAACGTGACACCATCAATATAACGAGATACATAGCAACGTGACACCATCAATATAACGAGATACATAACAACGTGACACCATCAATATAACGAGATACATAGCAACGTGACACCATCAATATAACGAGATACATAGCAACGTGACACCATCAATATAACGAGATACATAGCAACGTGACACCATCAATATAACGAGATACATAGCTTTAACTCTAATCTACTTAAACAATGCTCAACTTGGGATGTAAAAAAAATTATTGCAACCTGTCCCCGACTGAGCTTGAGTTTTGGATGCCCCAGCAAACTTTCACGAATATTTTTGTAACTTTTTGACGCTCTCCGCCAAAGCACCAAGTAAAACGGACTAGCCCAATACCTCTATTAAAATGGACTAGTCCAATAACTCTACTAAAATGGACTAGTGCAATACCCCTACTAAAATGGACTAGCCCAATATCCCCACTAAAATGGACTAGTCCAACAGCCCAACCAAAATGGACTAGCCCAATATCCCCACTAAAATGGACTAGTCCAACAGCCCTACCAAAATAGACGAGCCCAGTACCGCTATCATAAGACGATTGACGCTCTAAAGCTAATCGATAAGTAATCAGAGGCACCAATCGATGAATCGATCCATTTTGAGTGCAAGCAGTTGGAATCTGTCTTGCCCAAGAAAAAAGTCACAGATGTATATGCATGGAATTTGTTAATACTTTTATGTTTTTAAGACGTGCAAATCAAAATACGATTAATTAAATGTAATGTAAAAATTGTATGTATATGTCGTAGGTTGTATTTATAGTAACACACGTAAAAATATATAGTCTGAAGTATTTTGGTTTTAATTCCGTTATAGAATAGAATTAATTAGATCTAGAATTTTCCAACCTATTCAGTTTATTTTTAAAATACAAACTTTGAATCAGCTGCAAATGGATAGAAGACATAGTTAATATGATGTAGTGACCTTTACTTCCGACGTAACGATAATTTAGTGACCTTTACTTCCGTTTATCGCCCTCATTAGACCACAAAGAATAGGATCTAGCCAAAAAGCCGACAAGGTTCGAAGGCTGTTGTTGAATCAAAACGTCAACACTACACAATGTGGACAAACTAGGCTGACAGTCGAAAGCCTTAAGGCACAAAAAAAAATACAAAACACAAGGATCAGCCTACATTTCTTTTATTTCTAATATGAAAATAAAGAAATATTGAACAAATTTGAGGCTACTGTGTATCTTTTATACTTTTTACTTATTGTGAAGACCAACGTCGGATTTTTATTAAAACCATAAAACTTTTACAGTTTATAAATATGTTACTAAAAACACCACCCATTTTTATACACACACACAATTTGACAATTCTCAACAAGTAAATCAAAATATTTGGTAATGCACATTTGTGATTTTTTTCTGTGACTTTATTTCCGTTCGCCGCCCTAACGCCTTTAGATTCATGCCAACATAGCCAGTAACGGGTGTTTACACAGGTAAAATTGAAACGTACCTGTAACAGGTGAGACACAGCGACACAGTGATGAGGACACACAGCGACACAGGAAGCCACGACTCTCGAGTTTTGGTCACGTGTGTCTGCCTGGGGACACGGGAACCACGTGATCAGTTGTCACGTGATTTGTGACGACACAGTTATTCTAACAGCTTAAAAATCTGATTAGAAATCTGATTGCCAGACAAACTAATGAAGAGAAGTGACACAGTGCATACAATATGACCAATCTATCACCTTTACATTCTTCACAAAGAAAACATACCAAAAAAAAACAAACAACAACAATATTCCTAATTAAAACCATACTTTATCATCGCCGCCCACCCACAAGAATGTTAGTTAACTTTCTCTGTGTGTCCTTACGGTACACAATGTATACAGAATGTTGAGATCCCCTTCACCCCCCCCCCCCCCCCCACTTGAGGCCACTAGCACCCCACGGTACACAATGTATACAGAATGTTGAGATCCCCTTCACCCCCCCCCCCCCCCCCACTTGAGGCCACTAGCACCCCACGGTACACAATGTATACAGAATGTTGAGATCCCCTTCACCCCACCCCCCACCCCCCCACTTGAGGCCACTAGCACCCCACGGTACACAATGTATACAGAATGTTGAGATCCCCTTCACCCCCCCCCCCCCCACTTGAGGCCACTAGCACCCCACGGTACACAATGTATACAGAATGTTGAGATCCCCTTCACCCCCACCCCCACCCCACCCCCCCCACTTGAGGCCACTAGCACCCCACGGTACACAATGTATACAGAATGTTGAGATCCCCTTCGGCTCACCCAATGTCAAGGTCAGACTAACCTTGTGTGGGCGTGGCTCCTGCTGGCAGTGTGGACAAACTGACGTCTGACAGCTGACAGGATGTTGTAGATGTCACTGTTCATGGTCGCTGGATGACACGTGACATTTGATGAGATGACACGTGACATTTGATGAGATGACACGTGACATTTGATGAGATGACACATGACATTTAATGAGATGACACATGATATTTGATGAGATGACACGTGCCATTTGATAAGATGACACATCACATGACATTTGATGAGATGACACATGACAATTGATGATTGATGAGTTAGCAACATCTAGTGGGTACATGCATGTCATGTGACAGTCCTTTTGGTTGTCGTCTGGCAGTCGTCTGATTGAAAAATCTCAAAACTTTTGTTTGAAATGCAATAGTTTCGTTAAGTTGCTATCATAGTGTAGCTTACCTGTTAAATAGAGCTAAGAATGAAAAGGTCCTCCGTGAAAGATTCAGTTGGTGACTGATGTTGTCATGTACTGTCATGTGCTGTCACGTGCTGTCACGTGCTGTCATATGTGTCATTTGTCGTCTGTGTTGTGTGTGTGTGTGTTCTTACATTTTTCTCTAGTTCAGCCCTACTGCAAGTCAAACTGGATTTATTTATTTACATTCGTGATTAGGATTTAATTACAGAAATTGGTATCGTTAAATTAACATATTTGTTTCCAGAGTGTCTTCCAGGCATCTCTTCGAACGAAATGAAATTTATATAAATTATATAGAAAATATATACTTTTAAAACAGTGTCCGCCCCCCCCCCCCGAAGAAAGTCTACCGCCCCCCCCCCCCCACGAAGATTTCAAGTGCCCCCCCCCCCCCGGAGAAAAACGTCTGGAAGACACACTGTTTCATATTTTTACTTTCTCGTATATACGAAGTATAGAGAAAGTCTTGTAATCGAGCAAAAAAAAAATTGAGATTTTTACAAATCTCGACGTTTTACACCTCACTGATACGGAAAAACATAATTTTGCAATCTTGTCCGTATGTCTGTGTGTCTGTCTGTCTGTCTGTCCGTGTGTAAACACAATAACTTGAGTACCGTTACTGCTAGGTTGATGAAATTTCATATATAAGTATTTTATCAAAATCGTAGATCCGTATCAACTTTTGAGCGATTTCCGATAACCGGAAGTGGTACTTTTCCTACTTTGAATTTTTCAAAAGCCTACAACTTGAGTACTATTTCAGATAGATAGATGAAATTTCACATGTAAGTAAAAGATCTAATTCTCTACCTTCTTTAAATTTTGAGTAATTTCCGTTGACCGGAAGTAGTACTTTACGCTACTTCCGATTTCTCAAAAAACGAATGTAAATTTTAAAGTACTAATAATATTGCGCATAATTATGCGCTTTTTGATTTGGCGTTCACTTGGTGTGCAATTAATTTGTCTACGAGATTTTATTCTATTTTTAAAACTTTAAGTATTTAAAATGGATTAAAAATCATGTCTACAGCCCGAGTTCCCATCCCCTGTTATTTTATATAAGATTATTCGAGAAAGTTTAGGGGAGATCACTCCCGGTTTATTATTTAAAAAGTCGATGTTTATGTAACCTGCAATAGAGTTTCATGACGACAAAAATCGATGTTTATGGGACAATACGCTGAGTAGTTGTTCTGTAGGCATGCAAAGGTCAAGTCAACCTTAAAAGAATTGATTTAACTACTAATTAATTTATGAATATTTTTAGATTGTTTTATAAATGAGGTGAGATATTTTAAACAGAAACAAAATTAAAACAAAGTTTGAATGTATCTATTTAAACTATTTCTTGGTTCAGTTTTTAATCTGACTGACATAACAGTATTAATTAATTGAAACGGTTACGTGTCCAGACAGCTAATTAAAAAAAGTGTCTAGACTTAACCTACTTGTGTTTAATTAGACAGATTGCTCATTAAAGCTTTTGAAATTTGCAAGAACCAAACGCGTATGTCGAACAGGCCGGGAACTGTGAACTACACACTGACGTCACTTCGTGTTGTGTGACGTCACAGCGACACACAACACGCCGTAACTAGGCACGCTCTCCCCGCCGGCAGCCGTTGTCAAGTCTAGCGTGTCTTGATAAACCAGTGCAACTACTGGCTAGAGACGATGTTTTGATTGTACTCACGTGCTGTCGTCTTCTACAGAGGGTTGTTCTCCAGAGTTCGGTCAACACGGCAACACACGTCTGCTGGCAACACGGCAACACACGTCTGCTGTCAACACGGCAACACACGTCTGCTGGCAACACGGCAACACACGTCTGAGTCAACACGGCAACACACGTCTGCTGGCAACACGGCAACACACGTCTGCTGTCAACACGGCAACACACGTCTGCTGGCAACACGGCAACACACGTCTGCTGTCAACACAGCAACACACGTCTGCTGGCAACACACGTCTGCTGTCTACTAACGCTGGTCGCGCATGGCTGACCCGCGTCTGCTGGAGCACGTCTTGTCTGCCACGGTCTGGTTTTGGCCAATCGGCGTCATTGTTTACATGAGCCGTCACGTGTATCGGGCCCAACTTGTTAGACTTAGGATCTGAGCTATGCTTGTATTACATGAGCCATCACGTGTATCGGCCCCAACTTGTTAGACTTAGGATCTGAGCTATGCTTGTATTACACCCTGCTTAACAAACCTAATTCGTTTTTTGGCTCTTAGACCCCCCCCCCCACACACACACACATAACATATAGCCCCGCCCCTCCCCCACACACTTAAGATATAGTTCCGCCCCCTCCCCCACACACTTAAGATATAGCTCCGCCCCCTCCCCAACACACTTAAGATATAGCTCCGCCCTTCCCTCACACACTTAAGATATAGTTCCGCCCCCTCTCCCACACACTTAAGATATAGCTCCGCACTTCCCTCACACACTTAAGATATAGTTCCGCCCCCTCTCCCACACACTTAAGATATAGTTCCGCCCCCTCCCCCACACACTTAAGATATAGCCCCGCCCCCTCCCCAACACACTTAAGATATAGCTCCGCCCTTCCCTCACACACTTAAGATATAGTTCCGCCCCCTCTCCCACACACTTAAGATATAGCTCCGCCCTTCCCTCACACACTTAAGATATAGTTCCGCCCCCTCCCCCACACACTTAAGATATAGCTCCGCCCCCTCCCCAACACACTTAAGATATAGCTCCGCCCTTTCCTCACACACTTAAGATATAGTTCCGCCCCCTCTCCCACACACTTAAGATATAGCTCCGCCCTTCCCTCACACACTTAAGATATAGTTCCGCCCCTCCCCAACACACTTAAGATATAGTTCCGCCCCCTCTCCCACACACTTAAGATATAGTTCCGCCCCCTCTCCCACACACTTAAGATATAGCTCCGCCCTTCCCTCACACACTTAAGATATAGTTCCGCCCCTCCCCAACACACTTAAGATATAGCCCGCCCCTCCCCCACACACTTAAGATATAGCCCGCCCCTCCCCCACACACTTAAGATATAGCCCGCCCCTCCCCCACACACTTAAGATATAGTTCCGCCCCTCCCCAACACACTTAAGATATAGCCCGCCCCTCCCCCACACACTTAAGATATAGCCCGCCCCTCCCCCACACACTTAAGATATAGCCCGCCCCTCCCCCACACACTTAAGATATAGTTCCGCCCCCTCCCCCACACACTTAAGATATAGCCCGCCCCTCCCCCACACACTTAAGATATAGCTCCGCCCCTTGACAATAGTGACAAGTGGTCCACACACTCAATGATGACAAAATATTCCAGTTAGGTGTGATATACTTTTATTACAATACATGAACACGTGAATTAAAACAACTTTTGTTTGACTGTAATTATCCAAGCTAGGTCAGTTTACCACCACCCAGTTGACCACCGCCCAGTTGACCACCGCCCAGTTGACCACCGCCCAGTTGACCACCACCCAGTTTACCACCGCCCAGTTGACCATCGCCCATCTAGCGACCGCTCACATCGCTGGGTCCACTAGCGGCACTTGTTGCCACGTCCACATCCGTCCCGCCCTCGTCCGTCACGCCGCTGGTCATAGTCGTAACGCTTTTTGTAACGGTTTCCGACATCCCGGAAGGGGATGTCCGGGCTTCCGACATACCGGAAGGAGAAGTCCGGACTTCCGACATACCGGAAGGGGAAGTCCGGGCCACAAGCCTTGATAGACCTGGGGACAGTCACAGCTCGTTGATGGTGCTATACTCGGCCACGAACACACCAACATGCCACGCCCACTCCAACATGCTACGCCCACACCGCCACACATACACTGCAACACTATACCACATCTAAGCTACCAATCCCATACTACCACACCTACACGGCCACACCCACACTGCCACATCCTGTATTCCGCCTCAACCTACTGTAAGTGCCAATGACGTCACCGCCCTTCTGACGCCGAACCATGACGTATTTACACACAATCAAGCAGCAATAGAACGAGGCCATGCCGAGCGGGATAAAGGCGATGCTGAGAAAATTGTAGCCGCTCTCTCTCGGCTCTTCCGGGTCCCTCCAGCTGACATCTGCAGACCATTGAATCCACATGTCATCCACATGTCATCTACATGTCATCCAAATGTCATCCACTCGCCAATACGGACCCCAACTAATCATCTCGAGACTCTAGCCAAGCTGACCTTTAAACTAGCTGGCCTCTATCCTAGCTTGACCTCTAGCTTAGCTGACCTCTAACCTAGCTGACCTCTAACCTAGCTGACCTCTAGCCTAGCTGACCTCTAACCTAGCTGACCTCTAACCTAGCTGACCTCTAGCCTAGCTGACCTCTAACCTAGCTGACCTCTAGCTGACCTCTAACCTAGCTGACCTCTAACCTAGCTGACCTCTAGCTGACCTCTAACCTAGCTGACCTCTAGCCTAGCTGACCTCTAGCCTAGCTGACCTCTAACCTAGCTGACCTCTAACCTAGCTGACCTCTAACCTAGCTGACCTCTAGCTGACCTCTAACCTAGCTGACCTCTAGCCTAGCTGACCTCTAACCTAGATGACCTCTAACCTAGCTGACCTCTAGCCTAGATGACCTCTAACCTAGCCGACCTCTATCCTAGCTGACCTCTAACCTAGCTGACCTCTAACCTAGCTGACCTCTAACCTAGCTGACCTCTAGCCTAGCTGACCTCTAACCTAGCTGACCTTTAGCTGACCTCTAACCTAGCTGACCTCTAACCTAGCTGACCTCTAACCTAGATGACCTCTATCCTAGCTGACCTCTAACCTAGCTGACCTCTAACCTAGCTGACCTCTAACCTAGCTGACCTCTAGCCTAGCTGACCTCTAACCTAGCTGACCTCTAGCCTAGCTGACCTCTAACCTAGCTGACCTTTAGCTGACCTCTAACCTAGCTGACCTCTAACCTAGCTGACCTCTAACCTAGCTGACCTCTAACCTAGCTGACCTCTAACCTAGCTGACCTTTAGCTGACCTCTAACCTAGATGACCTTTAGCTGACCTCTAACCTAGCTGACCTCTAACCTAGCTGACCTGTAACCTAGATGACCTCTAACTTAGCTGACCTCTAACCTAGCTGACCTTTAGCTGACCTCTAACCTAGATGACCTTTAGCTGACCTCTATCCTAGCTGACCTCTAACCTAGCTGACCTGTAACCTAGATGACCTCTAGCCTAGATGACCTCTAACCTAGCTGACCTCTAGCTGACCTTTAACCTAGCTGACCTCTAACCTAACTGACCTCTAACCTAACTGACCTCTAACCTAGATGACCTTTAGCTGACCTCTATCCTAGCTGACCTCTAACCTAGCTGACCTGTAACCTAGATGACCTCTAACCTAGCTGACCTCTAACCTAGCTGACCTTTAGCTGACCTCTAACCTAGATGACCTTTAGCTGACCTCTATCCTAGCTGACCTCTAACCTAGCTGACCTGTAACCTAGATGACCTCTAGCCTAGATGACCTCTAACCTAGATGACCTCTAGCTGACCTTTAACCTAGCTGACCTCTAACCTAACTGACCTCTAACCTAGCTGACCTCTAGCTGACCTTTAACCTAGCTGACCTCTAACCTAACTGACCTCTAACCTAGCTGACCTCTACTCACATCGCTGACAAAACGGCCCAGCCCTCCCCCGCGGGCAGGCCAGACACTCCCCGTTGATGTGACACATGCGGTCAGGACACCGTGAGTCGCAGACGGTCCGACACTCCAGCCCGTAGTAGGGTGGGGCACAGTCTGGAACAAACATGTCACCCAATTAAAGTAGAGTGGGGTGGGGGGGGGGGGTGGGGCACAGTCTGGTGGGGCACAGTCTGTAACAAAATTAAAGTAGGGTGGGGGGGGGACACAACATGTCACCCAATTAAAAAATAAACGACGAAAAGCTACGAATACCAAGACACAAGCCAAAAACCTCCAAAGGCCAAAACTTCACAAATATCCAGGTAAGTTCCGGTCACTTGATTGACGGATAACCGGAGACCGGCAACCGGCTCAGAGCTTCCGGTCAGTACCCTGGTCACGTGACCTGTGGAGCCCACACTGTGTTTATAGGTCACGGCCATCTGCCTGTCCAGCGCCTCCAAGGTGAAGGTTTTCATGACGTCAACACCTGTGACAGGGGAGACAATATTTTACACCTGGGGCAGGCGAGACAATATTTTACACCTGTGACAGGGGAGACAATATTTTACACCTGGGGCAGGCGAGACAATATTTTACACCTGTGACAGGGGAGACAATATTTTACACCTAGGGCAGGGGAGACAATATTTTACACCTGGGGCAGGGGAGACAATATTTTACACGTGGAGCAATATTTTACACCTGGGGCAGGGGAGACAATATTTTACACCTGGGGCAGGGGAGACAATATTTTACACCTGGGGCAGGGGAGATAATATTTTACACCCGGGGCAGGGGAGACAATATTTTACACCTGGGGCAGGGGAGATAATATTTTACACCTGGGGCAGGGAGACAATATTTTACACCTGTGGCAGGGGAGACAATATTTTACACCCGGGGCAGGGGAGACAATATTTAAGTGATGAGGATGAACAAGTAGACGAAATACCTCGTGACGTGTGTATGATGACGTCATGCACGATCCGGGCATTCCCCGAAAAGAGCACCTGCCAGTGGTTCAACCCCACGTGACCGCTGGTGTTGACGCACTCGGCCCCCACCCCCCACTCCCCGTCCACCGCACGGGCTGACACGCCCCGACCCTGAGACTGCACAGACATTGAGGTCTTCTGCTTGACCGCCAGGTTCCTCCCTGGGGAGGTGAGGGGCTGGCGTTAGTAGGGAGGGTAGTGGTGGGCTTAGAGTAGTGGTAGGCTTAGTGAAGTGGTGGGCTTAGTGTAGTTGTGGGCTTAGTGCAGTGGTGGGCTTAGTGTAGTAGTGGGCTTAGTGTAGTAGTGGGCTTAGTGCAGTTGTGGGCTTAGTGCAGTTGTGGGCTTAGTGTAGTGGTGGGCTTAGTGTGCAGGTGGGCTTAGTGTAGTGGTGGGCTTAGTGTAGTAGTGAGCTTAGTGTAGTAGTGGGCTTAGTGTAGTAGTGGGCTTAGTGCAGTTGTGGGCTTAGTGTAGTGGTGGGCTTAGTGTGCAGGTGGGCTTAGTGTAGTGGTGGGCTTAGTGTAGTAGTGGGCTTAGTGCAGTTGTGGGCTAAGTGTAGTGGTGGGCTTAGTGTAGTAGTGGGCTTAGTGTGGTGGTGGACTTAGTGTGCAGGTGGGCTTAGTGTAGTGGTGGGCTTAGTGTAGTGGTGGACTTAGTGTAGTGGTGGGCTTAGTGTAGTGGTGGACTTAGTGTAGTGGTGGGCTTAGTGCAGTTGTGGGCTTAGTGTAGTGGTGGGCTTAGTGTAGTGGTGGGCTTAGTGTGCAGGTGGGCTTAGTGTGCAGGTGGGCTTAGTGTAGTGGTGGGCTTAGTGTAGTGGTGGGCTTAGTGTATTGGTGGGCTTAGTGTAGTGGTGGGCTTAGTGTAGTGGTGGGCTTAGTGTAGTGGTGGGCTTAGTGTAGTGGTGGGCTTAGTGTAGTGGTGGGCTTAGTGTAGTGGTGGGCTTAGTGTAGTGGTGGGCTTAGTGTAGTGGTGGCTTAGTGTAGTGGTGGGCTTAGTGTAGTGGTGGGCTTAGTGTAGTGGTGGGCTCACTGCAGTTGTGGGCTTAAAGTAGTGGTGGGCTTAGTGTAGTGGTGGGCTTAGTGTAGTGGTGGGCTTAGTGTGGTGTTGGGCTTAGTGTAGTGGTGGGCTTAGTGTAGTGGTGGGCTTAGTGTAGTGGTGGGCTTAGTGTAGTGGTGGGCTTAGTGTAGTGGTGGGCTTAGTGTAGTGGTGGGCTTAGTGTAGTGGTGGGCTTAGTGTAGTGGTGGGCTTAGTGTAGTGGTGGGCTTAGTGTAGTGGTGGCTTAGTGTAGTGGTGGGCTTAGTGTAGTGGTGGGCTTAGTGTAGTGGTGGGCTTAGTGTAGTGGTGGGCTTAGTGTAGTGGTGGGCTTAGTGTAGTGGTGGGCTTAGTGTAGTGGTGGGCTTAGTGTAGTGGTGGGCTTAGTGTAGTGGTGGCTTAGTGTAGTGGTGGGCTTAGTGTAGTGGTGGGCTTAGTGTAGTGGTGGGCTCACTGCAGTTGTGGGCTTAAAGTAGTGGTGGGCTTAGTGTAGTGGTGGGCTTAGTGTAGTGGTGGGCTTAGTGTGGTGTTGGGCTTAGTGTAGTGGTGGGCTTAGTGTAGTGGTGGGCTTAGTGTAGTGGTGGGCTTAGTGTAGTGGTGGGCTTAGTGTAGTGGTGGGCTTAGTGTAGTGGTGGGCTTAGTGTAGTGGTGGGCTCACTGCAGTTGTGGGCTTAGTGTAGTTGTGGGCTTAGTGTAGTGGTAGGCTTAGTGTAGTGGTGGGCTTAGTGTAGTGGTGTGCTTGGTGTAGTAGCTTAGTCATAAATAGATGACCCTTAAGGATACGACGGGCCGAGGATGGTGGTGGGCTTAGGTCAGTGGTGGTCCGACAAGCCCACGGGCCCGCCAGCTACCTTTCACGATGTAAATGGAACAAATTTGACTTCCGGTCCAGGTGAGCTCGATGGCCTTGACATAGAGAAGGTCAGGGCCACACGTGACGTCTTGCAGGAGGTCGGTGATGGAGTGTGTCCTCAGCTGGTCACACAAGACCTCCCCACTACTGGTGTGTAGCTTCAAGGTCATGTAGCTGTATGTAGCTGGGGAATAGAAGGTAGCCGTATGTAGCTGGGGAATACAAGGTAGCCGTGTGTAGCTGTAGGTAGCGACTATATTGACGGTACAAGGTTGAGGTTAAAACACAATTGTTAGTGCCAGGTTTTAATCAGATGTCAGATGTCATTGGCTGAATCTGACATTTGGAATCTGACATATGGAATCTATGGAATCTGACATATGGAATCTGACATCTGTAGAGGCACAAGTTTAACATTATAAAATGAGTTGGATGTATGTTGGATGTTTGTTGGATGTATGTTGGATGTTTGTTGGATGTATGTTGGATGTATGTTGGATGTATGTTGGATGTATGTTGGATGTATGTTGGATGTATGTTGGATGTATGTTGTATGTATGTTGGATGTATGTTGGATGTTTGTTGGATGTTTGTTGGATGTTTGTTGGATGTATGTTGGATGTTTGTTGGATGTATGTTGGATGTTGGATGTTTGTTGGATGTTTGTTGGATGTATGTTGGATGTTTGTTGGATGTATGTTGGATGTTTGTTGGATGTTTGTTGGATGTATGTTGGATGTTTGTTGGATGTATGTTGGATGTGTGTTGGATGTTTGTTGGATGTGTGTTGGATGTATGTTGTATGTATGTTGGATGTATGTTGCATGTACCTGTGATGACCGGCGAATGCCTAGTGGCATGCGGCCAGCATTAAACCTACAGAACGGAATGGACTGGTCGGGTACCTGACTCTTTCAGACGGAGACGGAGCCAGGCTAAGGGTTCGAACCTCTCCAGTTGGATGAGCAGGGGCGAGCCGGTGACGTCTACACACGTGTCGTCACCCTTGTCTGTGACGTCATAGGGAATTCCCCTGGCTTCGGTGGCCACGTTTCCTGCACACAGAGGGGGGGGGGGAGTGTGACGTCACAAGTTTACTTCGCACAAGGGTTGTCATAAGTATGACATTACTTACTGTACTGATGACATCAGGGATAACCAGGGATGACATTAGGGATGAAATAAGGATGACATGACTTACTGTATTGATGACATGAGAGATGACATAAGGGATGACATCACAGATGACATGACTTACTATACTGACAGAACGGTCCGACCCAGTCCACGTGACACGTGTCAAAAGGGCATTGACCTTTGTCGCACTCCACGCTCGAACAGTGGCACTGGAACTCTTCATTGGCCAGCGTGAAATACGTGGCGTCTAAACACAACACATCAAGCCTAAACACAACACATCAGGTCTAAACACAACACATCAAGCCTAAACACATCAGGTCTAAACAAATCAGGTCTAAACACATCAGGCCTAAACACATCAGGTCTAAACACATCAGGTCCAAAGACATCAGGTCCAAACACATCAGGTCTAAACACATCAGGTCTAAACACATCAGGTCTAAACACATCTCAACACAGCATGTCTAAAAAGACGTCATTCAACAGCTGTGTAAGATTAGACTACACACCAGACAGACGTCACAACTGACCATGAGCACTCCGTACACACCTGTGTGACAACACACCTATGTGAGAACACACCTGTGTGACAACACACCTGTGTGATAGCACACCTGTGTGACAACACACCTGTCTGAGAGCACAGCACACTGTGTAGACTGCTACACTTGTGTGACAACACACCTGTGTGACAACACACCTGTGTGACAACACACCTGTGTGAGAACACACCTGTGTGACAACACACCTGTGTGATAGCACACCTGTGTGACAACACACCTGTCTGAGAGCACACCACACTGTGTAGACTGCTACACTTGTGTGACAACACACCTGTGTGACAACACACCTGTGTGACAACACACCTGTGTGATAGCACACCTGTGTGACAACACACCTGTCTGAGAGCACACCACACTGTGTAGACTGCTACACTTGTGTGACAACACACCTGTGTGACAACACACCTGTGTGACAACACACCTGCCTGAGAGCACAGCACACTGTGCAGGCTGCTACACCTGTCGTCATAAAGCTTCCTCCTGTTGTCTGTGTACGTGCAGTTCTCAGTCACGTGACCGTTGGGCTCCCCCGCCCCCCACAGGCCGGGGTTGACTTTTGCCCGGTTGTCCACCCAGACGAAGTGTCCCTCCCTCCAGACGTCAATCGCCCCCACCCAGGCGGCTGTCGGAGCTGTCAGTGGTGGGGTGGGGGGGGGGGGGTGGGGGGTAGATGAGTTAATCAAGTATTATTTCACTGAGATTTGATTCATCAAAAAAAAAAAAAAAAAAAAAAAAAAAAAACGAGACAAATGATTTCTTATTTATGTATGTAATTATAGCGAATTCAAAAATTATATTAAAACGTTACTAATAAACATTAATTACACAAAACTTGTTTAAATTATGCATTACAAGTGAAGATTTTTTTTTTCATATTTTCCTTACATGGGTAGTTATTTGTTTTTAAAAAGGTACTTAAGAATCTCTTTTTAGAGTTAGCTTAAATTTGTTAATTATTTGTTTTGTGAATTGATCAAATCTTGACCCAGTTTTGCTAATTTCACAATCAGGATCTGAACCTTAAGACTGGATTTGTTTTTTGCTAACCCTGCAGAGATCGATTGCCATAGATTTACTTTTACTGTCAAAGGGAACAAACCCAATCAAATTTTCGGACAAAATAAAATTTGCTTTGTTACATCCCATTACTAAAGGTTTACTTTTCTTTGTCAAAGGGAACAAACCCAATCAATTTTTTGGACAAAATTAAATTTGCTTCGTTACATCCCTTTTACTATAGGGAAATAGCACACGACGGTATAAAATAAAATGAGGAGAAACGGGGTGGGGGAGGGGGGGGGATAAAGAGGTAATATTGTCTTAACGAGAGTTAATATTTCGATTTGAAAACTTAAAAGCTTTAAAGTTATTTTTAAAGTCTGTTTTTTAAAAACGAAGTTGATTTGTTTACTTCCGTTGACGGAAACAAGCTCATGCAAGCGGTGGAGGTCGTCTGCTGTGATGACACGTGCAAGCTGCATGCCGTCTGCCAAACATCGGTTCTGGGGAGATACAGGGGTGGGTCACATGACAGGGGTGGGTCACATGACAGGGTGGGTCAGGTGGGTGGGTCACATGACAGGGGTGGGTCACATGACAGGGGTGGGTCACATGACAGGGTGGGTCACATGACAGGGGTGGGTCAGGTGGGTGGGTCACATGACAGGGTGGGTCAGGTGGGTGGGTCACATGACAGGGGTGGGTCACATGACAGGTGTGGGTCACATGACAGGGTGGGTCACATGACAGGGGTGGGTCACATGACAGGGTGGGTCACATGACAGGGGTGGGTCAGGTGGGTGGGTCACATGACAGGGTGGGTCAGGTGGGTGGGTCACATGACAGGGGTGGGTCACATGACAGGGGTGGGTCACATGACAGGGGTGGGTCAGGTGGGTGGGTCACATGACAGGGTGGGTCAGGTGGGTGGGTCAGGTGGGTGGGTCACATGACAGGGGTGGGTCACATGACAGGGGTGGGTCAGGTGGGTGGGTCAGGTGGGTGGGTCAGGTGGGTGGGTCACATGACAGGGGTGGGTCACATGACAGGGGTGGGTCAGGTGGGTGGGTCAGGTGGGTGGGTCAGGTGGGTGGGTCACATGACAGGGTGGGTCAGGTGGGTGGGTCACATGACAGGGGTGGGTCACATGACAGGGGTGGGTCACATGACAGGGGTGGGTCAGGTGGGTGGGTCACATGACAGGGTGGGTCAGGTGGGTGGGTCAGGTGGGTGGGTCAGGTGGGTGGGTCACATGACAGGGGTGGGTCAGGTGGGTGGGTCACATGACAGGGTGGGTCAGGTGGGTGGGTCAGGTGGGTGGGTCAGGTGGGTGGGTCACATGACAGGGGTGGGTCACATGACAGGGGTGGGTCACATGACAGGGTGGGTCACATGACAGGGTGGGTCACATGACAGGGTGGGTCACATGACAGGGTGGGTCAGGTGGGTGGGTCACATGACAGGGGTGGGTCACATGACAGGGTGGGTCAGGTGGGTGGGTCACATGACAGGGTGGGTCACATGACAGGGGTGGGTCACATGACAGGGGTGGGTCACATGACAGGGGTGGGTCACATGACAGGGTGGGTCACATGACAGGGGTGGGTCAGGTGGGTGGGTCACATGACAGGGTGGGTCACATGACAGGGTGGGTCAGGTGGGTGGGTCACATGACAGGGTGGGTCACATGACAGGGGTGGGTCACATGACAGGGGTGGGTCACATGACAGGGGTTGGTCACATGACAGGGGTGGGTCACATGACAGGGGTGGGTCAGGTGGGTGGGTCAGGTGGGTGGGTCAGGTGGGTGGGTCACATGACAGGGGTGGGTCACATGACAGGGTGGGTCAGGTGGGTGGGTCACATGACAGGGGTGGGTCACATGACAGGGGTGGGTCACATGACAGGGGTGGGTCAGCTGGGTGGGTCACATGACAGGGGTGGGTCACATGACAGTGTGGGTCAGGTGGGTGGGTCAGGTGGGTGGGTCACATGACAGGTGTGGGTCAGGTGGGTGGGTCACATGACAGGTGTGGGTCACATGACAGGTGTGGGTCACACGACAGGGTGGGTCAGGTGGGTGGGTCAGGTGGGTGGGTCAGGTGGGTGGGTCACATGACAGGGGTGGGTCACACGACAGGGTGGGTCACATGACAGGGGTGGGTCACATGACAGGGGTGGGTCACATGACAGGGGTGGGTCAGGTGGGTGGGTCAGGTGGGTGGGTCACACGACAGGGTGGGTCACATGACAGGGGTGGGTCACATGACAGGGGTGGGTCACATGACAGGGTGGGTCACATGACAGGGGTGGGTCACATGACAGGGAGGGTCAGCTGGGTGGGTCACATGACAGGGTGGGTCAGCTGAGTGGGTCACAGGACAGGGGGGGGTCACATGACAGGGTGGGTCACATGACAGGGGTGGGTCACATGACAGGGGTGGGTCACATGACATTGGTGGGTCACATGACAGGGGTGGGTCAGGTGGGTGGGTCAGGTGGGTGAGTCAGGTGGGTGGGTCACATGACAGGGGTGGGTCACATGACAGGGGTGGGTCACATGACAGGGGTGGGTCACATGACAGGGGTGGGTCACATGACAGGGGTGGGTCACATGACAGGGGTGGGTCACATGACAGGGGGGTCAGGTGGGTGGGTCAGGTGGGTGAGTCAGGTGGGCGAGTCACATGACAGGGGGGGGAGGTCACATGACAGGGGTGGGTCACATGACAGGGGTGGGTCAGCTGGGTGGGTCAGGTGGGTGAGTCAGGTGGGTGAGTCACATGACAGGGTGGGTCAGGTGGGTGGGTCACATGACAGGGGGGGGGGGGGGTCACATGACAGGGTGGGTCACATGACAGGGGTGGGTCACATGACAGGGGTGGGTCACATGACAGAGTGGGTCACATGACAGGGTGTATCAGGTGGGTGGGTCAGGTGGGTCGGTCACATGACAGGGGTGGGTCACATGACAGGGGTGGGTCACATGACAGAGGGGTCAGGTGGGTGGGTCAGGTGGGTGAGTCAGGTGGGCGAGTCACATGACAGGGGGGGGAGGTCACATGACAGGGGTGGGTCACATGACAGGGGTGGGTCAGCTGGGTGGGTCAGGTGGGTGAGTCAGGTGGGTGAGTCACATGACAGGGTGGGTCAGGTGGGTGAGTCACATGACAGGGTGGGTCACATGATAGGGTGGGTCACATGACAGGGTGGGTCACATGACAGGGTGGGTCACATGACAGGGTGGGTCACATGACAGGGGTGGGTCACATGACAGGGTGGGTCAGCTGGGTGGGTCACATGACAGGGTGGGTCAGGTGGGTGGGTCGCATGAAAGGGTGGGTCAGGTGGGTGAGTCAGGTGGGTGGGTTACATGACAGGTGTGGGTCACATGACAGGGGTGGGTCACATGACAGGGGTGGGTCACATGACAGGGGTGGGTCACATGACAGGGGTGGGTCAGGTTCGTGAGTCAGGTGGGTGGGTCACATGACAGGAGTGGGTCACATGACAGGGTGGGTCAAGTGGGTGGGTCACATGACAGGGGTGGGTCAGCTGGGTGGGTCACAGGACAGGGTGGGTCACATGACAGGGTGGGTCACATGACAGGGGTGGGTCACATGACAGGAGTGGGTCAGGTTCGTGAGTCAGGTGGGTGGGTCACATGACAGGAGTGGGTCACATGACAGGGGCGAGTCGGGTAATCAACACTATTCGTCACATCTACCTGTCATAGCTAACGATGCTCACCTGTGCTGTATGTCACATCTACCTGTCATAGCTAACGATGCTCACCTGTGCTGTATGTCACATCTACCTGTCACAGCTAACGATGCTCACCTGTGCTGTATGTCACATCTACCTGTCAGCTAACGATGCTCACCTGTGCTGTTTGCCAGCCTGCCATTAACTTGTCATACAGGTAGCAGGCACGACCTAGTTTAAAGCCCCCGGGGAACGTGCAGCGTCTTCCAGAAACTAGGACACGAAACTAGGTCAGCTGAATATTCTATTTTTATCATTTCGTATCCAAATGTTTTGTCCAACTTACGTATCCTTAATTTTTTTTTACTTTTTTTAGTTTACATTTTTTTTTTACTTTTTTAGTTTACATTGATTTTTTACTTTTTTAATTAACATTTTTTTTTTACTTTTTTAATTTACATTTTTTTTCTTTTTAATTAACATTTCTAATATTTTTTTCTTGTTAAATTTGTTGTCAAATATTTTGTCAAATATCAATTACGTTAAGTCAATTGTTTGCATGTTGATTGTATTTGTGAGAGTTCCTTTATTACTAAATGAAATTATTGAGTGAATAATGTCTAATTTCTAGTTAAAGCATTTAATTAGCACGTGTTCATCATTGATTTTCATGAAACATACCAGACATAATTAGGCAGGTCACTACTGCCAGGTGTTTCAAGGTCACAACAGGTAAGTGGGCACCCGAGGGCATCATGCACTAGA